CACCAAAAAAGTAGTGCCATTGGGGAAAAGGCCATACCCCCTGCCCCTTTGACCTGTGACCAGTAAACCTAAATTCAAGGTAGATGAAGAGTTGTACTACCTTTCTTAAAAGGCTCAAGGTCAAAGGTCACGGGAGTAAAAAGTTATTCAGGGTCACCAAATGGGGGCACCCGTACTAACGCCAACCCTAACCCTAAGAATATCTAAATCTTGCAATCTTGGTTTCATCTGCAAGGCTACATGTTCCTCTATCAATTCGTATAAGTTTCATATCCATATTTGAAGTAGTTAGGAAAATATCTGTAAAAGGAAATGCCAGTATTTGTCAAACTGTGTCGTATTTTTTAGTCAATGTGGCTTCGTCTGCGCTATACTGGTCCTTAACCTGCACAGAGAATGCGTCCTATATTTGAGCATAAAAGGAGTAAAAATAATCTGAATCTTGTAATCTTGAAGTCATCTGAAAGGGCACTTGTTCCTCTATTCATACCAGTTTCATATCCATATTTGCAGTAGTAAGGGAAATAGCTGCCAAAGGAAGTGCGAGTACCTTTCCAACTGCCTCCTATTTTTGCGGAATTCTGGCCTCGTTTGCGCTATACCGTTCCTTATCCCGCTCAAAGAAGGCTTCATATATTCGAGCATAAAAGGTCTAAGAATTATCTGAAGTTTCGAATCGTGGTGTCACCTGAAAGGGCACATGTTCCTATTTCCATTCCTATAAGTTTCATATCCATATTTGCCGTAGTTAGGAAAATATCTGCAAAAGGGTGTGCGAGTTGTTGTCTGACTGCTCAATATTTTTGCGTAAGTCTGACTTTGCAGTATACCGTCTTCTGCACTCGCACAGAGAATGATTATTCCAGCATAAATGGTCTAAAATTATCTAAATCTTGCAATCTTGGTGACACCTGAAAGGGCACACTTTCCTCTGTCTATTCATATCAGTTTTTATATCCATATTTTCGATAGAAAAGGGAAATATCTGGAAAGGAAGTGCTAGTTATTGTGTTATTGCTTTATATTTTTCCGTAATTCTGCCTTTGCGGTATACCAGGTACTGTACTCGTAAAGAGAATGCTTCATATAGTCAAGCATGAAAGATCTTAGAATTATCCAAATCCTGCAATTTTGGTGTCATCTGCGTTAAAATATAAAGCAGTCACACAAGAACTCGCACTTCCTTTTGCAGATATTTCCTTAACTACTGCAAATATTTACATGAAACTTATAGGAAGAGATATAGAAACATGTGCCCTTTCAGATGACACCAAGATTGCAAGATTTAGATAATTCTTAGATCATTCATGCTCGATTATATGCAGCATTCTCCGTGTGCTAACAGGACCGGTATAGCCGAGACGAAGCCAGAATTCC